AAAATCATATCATTGTGAATGAGGGGGAGTGTGGAGTGGAGACCCAAAGCCCATATGTAAGCAAGGGGACAATCCCTTGCAGAAGGGTCACGAGGAGGAGACGAGCCAGTCAGGGTGCAGTGTAACAACAATGAAACATACAACTTCCTCTACTTCCTAAGTGCTTCCCCCCACACACACACACTATCATGATCCCAATTCTACCTTACAAATCTGACTAGACCAGAGGATGTACACTGGTACAGACAGGAACTGGGAACACAGGGAATCCAGGACAGATGATCCCTTCAGGACCAGTGCTGAGAGTGGTGATACTGGGAGGGTGGAGGCGGGGTGAGGTGGAAAGGGGGAACCCATTACAGGGTTCTACGTATAACCTCCTCCCTGGGGGACGGACAACAGAAAAGTGGGTAAAGGGAGATGTCGGACAGTGTAAGATATGACAAAATAATTTATAAATTATCAAGGGTTCATGGGGGAGTGGGGAGGGAGGGGGAAAATTAGGAGCTGATGCCAGGGGCTTAAGTGGAGAGCAAATGTTTTGAGAATGAGAAGGGCAATGAATGTACACATGTGCTGTACACAATTGATGTATGTATGGATTGTGATAAGACTTGTATGAGCCCCCAATAAAATGATTAAAAAGAAGAAGAAGACCAAGACATAGCCATTATACCACTGGGGCTCCATCATTTACTCGTATACCAGTTGCTATAGAACCAGTTCTGAGGGCTGATGACCCCATGGGTGTCAAAGCAAAATTGTCCTCCATCAGGGTTTTCAATGGCTGGTCTGATGCCCCTCTGGGTAGACTCGGATCCCCAACCTTTTATTTAGCAGTGGAGTGTATTAACTCTTGGTGCCACCAAAGATCTCATCTTAAGGAACTAAAGGGTAAAACCAAGCCTGTTGCTACCTAGTTGATTTCAGCTCATCATTCCCTGCCATCAAGCCAATCTGATGCTCGGTGACCCTATAGGACAGAGTAGAGCTGTCCCTGTGGGTTTCTGAGGCTGTAAAGCTTTAGAAGTAGAACGCCTCAACTTTCTACCTAGGAATGGCTGGTAGTTTTGAACTGCTTTCCTTTCTGTGAGTAGCTGAGCAATTATCACAGCACCACCTCAATTAAAGTATGCTGATTCCTGTATTTTTACCAAAGTTGTGGCAGCAAAATCAACTGATTGGTAATCCAGATGACTTTCTTCTAGAGTTCTATTTCTTTTAAAAACCATGTCGAATATTTTCTTGGAACACCATTGTCATTTTGGTCAACTTAGATCATAGCTGGTTATCATCGTTACTTATACTTAGACTCTAAATTTCCTATTTAAAGAAGCTCCCTGCAATGGAACTTTCCACAATGATGGAAATGTGCTATCCCTGTGTTGTCTCGGAGGAGCCCAGGTAGGGGGGTGGACTATGAGTTGGGCTGCTCTTTGCACGGACTGCAGTTCCAAACCACCAGCCACACTGTCGGAGAAAAATGAGGCTGTCTGCTCCTGCGAATCCAAGAGAGGTCAGGTTCTACCCTGTCTTGTAGGGCCTGTGAGAGTCACAGCTGACCCCATGGCAGTGAGTTTGAGTTGTTCACGCGTGTGTATGTGTGTTGCCAACGAGGTTGACAGCTCATTTGGTCATTGCGTATTGGACATTTTATTGAATATTCATTTGGATGTATAGAGCCACATGTTACCAGCGGTCATTACAGATGGTTCCTCAAAAAAGGTTTTCAGGCTTTCTTAAGGAAATTAGTGAATCTCTTGGAAGACAAAGCGGTATGGTCTTTTAGACCAGGGAGCCTGCTTTTACTCCAAATCCCTTCCTTACTTAGTGCTAACCTCGTCAGCTGTCAGTGAATGACAGTGGTATGTAAATCGATTATTTCAATCTATCCTTCTCCGGTTAACATTTAAATTTCAGATGGGTTTCATTTTTATGCCTCATCAGTTTTTAGTCTACTGTGGCTTCTCATCTCAATTTAAAATTCCTTGGTTTAACCCTCCCCCCTTTACATTATTAATGAGTCCCAAGTGCAACACTGAAATAACTGTTTGCTGAAAGATCTCTCGTATGGAATCAGTTGTGAAAAGGAGATTCTCATACAATAATTTATCTTCAATTTCTAAGGTTAGATAACACTTCCATAAATTCCGTGTGGAAGATTGTTAGAACTTGTCCAGGTGTCTTTTGGTAAACATCAGACTTCTTCCTTCAGCACAGGAACCATGCTGGATTCATCTCTGCATTTGGAGTACTTCAGTTCACTGCTCCATGTGACCAAGTAGAGATGTTCATTGTGTTGAGTTTTTCCATAATGGAAAGTAAAACATTCCTTGTCCTTTAGAGAAATATAGAATGTCAGACTAGAGCCCTAAGTCTCACCCCCAACCAACCAACTAAGCAAAACAAATCAAAACTGAACTCACTGCTATCAAGCCCACTCTGACTCGTAGTGAACCTGTAGGACAGAGTCGAGCTGCCCCTGTGGGTGTCCGAGACTGTGACTCTTTGCAGGACTAGAGAGCCTCATTTTTCTCCCACAGAGAAGCTGGAGGTTTCAAACTGCTGACCTTGCAGTTAACAGCCCAACACATACCCCATCAGGGCTCCCTCAACCAAGCAACCAACCCACCAACCAGTTGCCATCGAATAGACCCCAGCTCATTACAACTGTGTTTATGCCAGGGTAGAAGTGCACTCCACAGGGGTTTCAGTGGTCGAATTTGCAGAAAGAGATGGCCAGGTGGTTCTTCCAAGGTGCTTTGGGGTTGACTTGAAGCTTTGACCTTTTGGTTAGTGACCAACTGTATTAGCCGTTTTTTTACAACCTCTCTAGTGGATTGCATTTTTTCCCCTTTGACTTCTAAAATATTCGGACTTAATCATTAATTCAAAGTTAGCAACATATGAAAGAGCGAAAGCAAAGCCTAATTTACATAATGAATAAACTTTGAACACTGGAGTTGCTATGGCTTATGGTTGTGCTAGAATGCCCTTGAGAACCCCAGTTCACTTGTGTTGGACTCTACAGTGCATTCATCTATGGAGTCCCTTTCTCTCGCAATAATGTCCTAGCTTAGACATTAAGTTATATAGACATTCACCTGTGACTGTGTCCCCCTCCTCTGGCTAAGCTACCATTACTCTCAGACTTGTCTGAGGAGCTCTGGTAGTGTAGTGGGTTCTGTGTTGGCCTGCTAACCTGAAGGGCAGTTGTTGGAACCCCACAGCTGCCCCACAGGAGAAAGATGAGGCTTTCAGCTCCCATGAAGATTTCCAGCCTCTGAAATCCAGAGGGCTAGAATTTTCATTGGCAGTTGTTTGGTTTTTGAATTTGTCTTGTTTCCCATTGCTCTGAGGAGAGGGACAGGGCTGCAGACTCCTCTATATATTCCAGCATAATTTTTTGTACATCCTAAACAGCAGATATTTGTTGAAAGTATAAATGTACCAAGGAATATTGTCAGCTCTGCTCTTCATTCAGGTACTCCCCTGTATGCCACTCATCGGTAGACACTCCTCTTGCTAAAGGATGGGGGGCTGGCATAGGTGAGTTCTCCAGCTCTAACGGACCTGACCTTGTACCGCAGAACTGGGAGAGTGATGCATAACCATGTTTCCTTTGGTCTTCAACAAGTGCTAGGGAAGGTATCAGTTCACTTATCTAAATGGTTATGGAGTAGTTGTAGAAATAGGAGCCATTTTTAATGACCTGTGCTTCTTAATCTATCCAATACTTGCTGAGTGCCTCAAGTATGTACAGTCATGCCAATGCCATAAAAATCCACAGGTCTCAAAAGTGAAACTCCTTTGGATGAAAGTTGTTTTTTCAGTCACAGACTAAATTTCTGGTTACTTTGGGCTGGTAAGACACACACATGTGTAAGGCAGTCACTGTGTGTGGGGCTGGAGCAGGGTTCAGGAGGGGGGTGGGAATCTTACCTCTTCCAGCCACCTGAAGAAGGAGGATCCAACTCCACATGCCAAGGTCTATGAGGCAGAGGCCAGACATGCCTCCTCCATCCATCCTATTCGGACACCAACCATCCTTCCTACAACACTCTGAACATATCTGATGGGTCTGCTAATTTGTTGCAAGGGCAACACAGAATTTAGAGGCGATCCTCCATAAATACAGGATTTCCTAGGAAAGCTAACAGGTTACAAAATAGTAAGGATGCAGTTCTTTTCTCTGCAGTTCCTCTTCTCAGACACCTTGGCAGACAAGTCTCTCTCTGGTCCTCTCAGCCCCACGAGCCCTTGGCCTCTGCCTCGTTCTGTGCGCCAGGAAGCCCATTGGCCCCTGTGCTTCATGCTCTCGGTGCTGTAACCTCTGGTGCCTCTGATGGCTCGGCTACTTCAGTCAAGGATCTCGAATGCACACTTCTTCTGATGACACTTGTTTCTTGACGGTCAGGGGACTCTTTGTTCTTTCTTCTGTGAGATGGCTCATTGTTACATCCAACAGAATGGGAAAATGGACCCATCCCCAAGGGAGAGTCCTCTATACCTTATTGGCATGATCCCACCCTATGACTTGACTGAGTTACTAAGACTATGGCTAAAAGAGCCGTGCCAAGTGATTTCATTTCACCTGACTTGGGGAGAGCATGCTGGCTAAAATGTTAGTTGCCTTTTTCAACAGAGAATAGAAGGTAAGGTTGAATTTGGTCCTGTGAGGTTTTAGAGGTTGAGTATCGAATGTTTCTGTCTTTTGTGGAATTCTCTTAGTCTGCTTATGATGTCAGTGGAACAATACCATGTGTCTGTCTTTCTGCAGATGGACAGTTTGGTTGGCTATGCCCTGTCTGGTTTTAGCCCATGCCTAGACCCACACCTACCCACCCATAGAATGGAGTTATTCTTGGAGTAAATTAAGGCAAGCCTTAGTACAAACTAAAGCAGTTTATTCTCTCACCATACCGAAGATGATGTGATTGTGTGACATTTCTTACATATATTTTTTGTTTGAAATTTAATTTCTCTGTTTTTATTCCTAGGTCAATGTACTTTTATTTACACATTATAAGTCTCCTGATAATACTATTTCTGCCAATCAAACCTAAAGAATAATTTCCTTTATAAGGATCAGCACAAAGCTGGGGCCGTTGAAGAGAACCTGGAGTAATTAATGATGAAGAAGAGAACTTGGAGTAATTAATGATGACGATCAAAGACAGTAGTCTTTGGTATGGATTGCAACTCCACATCAAGGAAATCAAAATCCTCACAACTGGACCAATAAGCAACATCATTATACATGGAGAAAAGATTGAAGGTGTTCATACTATTACTTTACTTGGATCTGCCATCAGTGTCCCTGGAAGCAGCAATCAAATCAAGTGTCATGTTGAAATGGCAAAGATGTCATTATGAAGACAAACATGCGCCTGACCCAAGCACTGGTATTTTCCATCGCTTCACATGCATATGAAAGTTGGATAATAAAGAAGAAAGGTTGCAGAAGAATTGGTACATTTGAATGATGGTTTCGGCAAACAAAACAGAACAAAAACACATTGAGTTTATTCAAAAACAAATCAGTTGGTATTGAAAGAAGCGTAACCAAAATTCCCCTTAGAAGTGAGGATGGTGAAACTCTGTCTCCTGTACTTTGGACGCCTTATCAGGAGGAGAAATGAATCCTCGGAGAAAGGACATGATGCTTAGTGAAGTAGAGAGTTGTCCAAAAAGAGGGGGATCCCTAGTGAGATGGATGGATACGACGCTTGCCACAGTGGGCTCAAACTTAACTACAGTTGTGAGCATGGCGCAGGACCAAATGTTGTATTGTTGGGTTGTCCATGGAGTCTCTCTGAGTCAGAACCAACTGAACTACACTTAACAACAACAACAACATGAAACGGAAGGTAAAAGTGCTCCAAACGGCCGCACCACTTCATCATCCCTAACATCGACTCCCCTCACTCAATACTTGCTCTCCGGTCGTGGGTTTTAGAATTCACTGCCAGGTCTCACAGAACTCACAAGCCACGCCCGCAGAGAAGAGTTTTGATTGGGAAGGAACCGGAAACCATTGGGGATCAAGAATGGCGCAGCAGGTACAGGAACAACTCAAGATATAATTCTTGATCAGCTCATCTTCTTGCCCTTTCTGACTGGGCCCTCTTGGAGCCTTCCTGGGCCAGTGTTCTACTCAACTCCATGGGTTGGCAAGCCCCACTGCAGCTGTCCCGCACCAGACTCCTGGTTCCTGGCATCTTGTGCTCTAGCACGTTTGCTACTGCGGTGCCACCGAATGGCACTGTTCCCCATGGGACAGCTCTCCCCCTCTTCTCTGTGTCTCCCTTTAAGCCTAGGGGGAAAGCAAAAATGACTACTCCCCTCATGCAAGGTCCCCCCCAAATTTGGGCAGTCACAAAGACTGTTTAGAAAGACCATATTAAATAATTCACTTTACCATAGGCCACCCCCTGGCTTTGTAACCGTTGGTCTTTTCATACTTGAAGGGTTAACTTTTCCCTCTGGCAATTGTTTTACTCATTCCAAACAATCACTAACGATTACCCTGCAGTAAGACAGAGCCCTCAGGGTGAGGTAACTCACGTGCTAGTCACTGAGATCTGTTGCATGTATCCATCTGATATGGTCGGCATCTCCAAACATTTTATCTTGGCCTCTCAGGCCTCTGATAAAATTGACCTGAGAGATTATTCCCTGGCTCTTGAAGGCCCAATGCAATACTGGGTTTCCCTTGCGCCATAGCTCATTTGTTCATTTCTTTACCATCAGCAATTCTATTCCCTTACACTGGTCACTTCTTTCTACCTCATCTTTTCTTCTTTGGGAAGGAACATCAGGTTCAGCTACCATGTTAGTCCAGGTTGGCTAGTAGCAATGCCCGTTTCACAAATGTTTCTTTGCCAGGCCCCTTCCAGGGTCTGTGATGGCCCGTGGGAGTGGCTTACCCGTTGGATCTGCATCCTAGTCACCATAAGCCAGTCTAGGATGGCGGGCATAAGCCGCACATTAGCCTCTTCCTCTGGGAGTGTTCCAGTGAGTGTTTAGTGGGGCAGTTTCCTTTCTCAGTGTCCACAAATGTCACTGAACAAATGTCTCCGGACCACCAGGCTGGCCATTTCCTCTGGGTGAACTTGTTATGTAACTGGATCTTGTATTCATGAATTGTGGGTTTTGCTTCAACCTACACATCCTTGTTCATTCTGCGGCATTCCAAACTAAAGACCCTTCCCCCAGGTCCCTGGCTCTCACGATCCATTTGGGTATAGATTCTTCAGGAGACTGATGACACTCTTCTACAAACTAAAGCAACTCTTTAAACATTCCAGAGTGTCTTGTCCAGTTCTCTCCCAGCAGTCATAGCGGTACTTCTTGTTTCTGGTTTATTTTTCTGCGTCTGCCCTGAGACTAACCTTGGCCGCTCCTATCGGCTTGGCTCAGTGCTACAGTTTCCCCTGCTTTCTCTTTCTCCGCCATTGCAGCTACATTACTGATAACAGCAAACAAGGCAATGTACAGCTCACCTCTTTTCTTACTGCTCTATATTTGCCTTTGCATCCAACTATCCAATTCCTCGGGTGTTAAATCCACCACTCCTAGTTCCCCTTGATAGCGGATGGCTGCAACAGAGCAGCTGCTTCAGTCCCCTCGGTCGGCCACAAGCACCGTATGTCCATATTCCCACCCAATCATTGTGAAGGAGTCACAAACCATGTGGCTAAATGTCAAGTTGATTCTAACTCAAAGAGACCTTATAGGACCAGGGGCAAGTGATCTAATAAGTAAGGTGAGCATGGGCTTATTGATTCTTACTTACTAATCGGTCATACAGTGTCATGTTAGGTGGTGAACAGCATGTGAAACTGTGTACCGCAGATTAGCAAGTAAGCAGTAGTAAGTCTGTGCTTACCTTGCATAGTGAGTTCTCAGCTTTGGGCAGGGATTGTAAATTTGAAAAGAGGCTTTGATTCTATAGGAAGGTGCTGCGGGGTTTTCAGAGAGACGGATACCAGCCAGACCTAGAAGCAGAGTTTGCCATGTGGTGAAAAAAATGTGAAATTGTTCACTGCAGATTAAAAAGCAAAGCGCATGCAAGTCCATGCTTACCTTGCTTCTTGGATCGCCACATTCAGTAGAACTGCCCGATAGAATTTCATAGGTCATACATCTTTACGGAAGCAGACTGCCCCATATAGTTCCCAAAGAGCAGCTGATAGGTTCAAACCCCTGACCTTTCAGCCATGTCAAGCCATTCATTTCATGGAAAACCAAAAGCTTATACTCAAAGACACCCTATGACCCTGAACTCTTTTGTTCGTAAGAAAAAGATTGATGTCTCCAGGACAAGTTAGAAAAATCAAACTGTCAGCTCTTCAACAGATGAGGTAAAAGGATTCGAGGATTCCCCAGTGCCTCAGAGGCATGCTTACATGCCTCTTTATTTAATTCAGTAAGTGCAGGGAGTATCTTTATAAAGCTTTTTGTCTAATTACGTTGGGCACATCCCATTGACTTGTTTTCGTACCTTATAGGACCTCTGAGAGCTGTGGAGGTGTGTAAAGAGAGCCCCAGAGCCGGAGAGAGATACGGGCGGGCGGAAGCTTGGTCTTTGCTTTGGGGATGGGGGCCGGGGACGTTCTTTCTGACATCCAGCCACACGACTCTGGATTCTGGAAACACAGCCATTGGTTCCAGACACCAGAAGGAGAAAGCTTACCCAAGGTTCTTAAACCAGAACCTACTCAGACAGGGCTGTTCCTTCTGAAGCCGTAGGTTCTTTGCATTGTGACAATCCTGGTGATACAATAACTCCACTCAGAAGCTGGTGGAGAAGAATTGTGGAGGGAGATGTTCAGGGCACTGCAGACGCTCCGAGCTCGAAGGACTCAATGTACACACTTGGATGGACCCCCCCAAAATCAGACATGCCCCAAAGGAGGCTGGTTTTTACTCCCGGGGATCTCGGAATTGAGCCAAGATGGGGAATCAGAGCCTCTCCTTTGCATGAACTGTCTACCGGGAGCCCAGGAGGGGTGACTGTTTTGCTAACGCTTCCAGTTTGAGCGCGCCATCTGCTTGCCCGGCAATGGCTCTTTAAGACGACGCTTGAATGTTCCTACTATTACGCGCAGCAGAGCAGCCTTGCGAGAAATCATTGTGAAGAAGGAATGTAAAGGGGTACGGGCGTTTGGTAAGGAGGGAGCTCTCGCTTGCCCCTCATTTCATGGCAGTGTTAGCAGTCAGCCTCGATGGACCCTTCGGCGGGTTCTCACCTCTCTCACTCCCCAGCGCCGTCCTCGACTAAACCCAACCTTGTTTAACAGATGCGTCATCTTGGAAAGCAGGGATTGAAGACACCATTTCTGTCTGTGCTGCCAATGGACTGTGCTCCTTCTGGGGAGTCTACGGGGCAATAAACAACGTGGGAGGAGGCAAAGGGGTATTAAATGTTGTGGAAAAGAATAATAAAATATAAGCTGTGCTGGCTGCCCTCAATCAAATTTGTTTAAACCAGGTGGTAAGATCAAACACATAAATAAACTAAAAGAAGAGAAAGAGAATGAGTTTCTGACTGAGTAGAGGTTCCCTGCAAAGGAAGTACTTCTGGACACAATGACTACTTCCTATTAGTGCTGTCAGAAACTTCACGCAAGGAGGCACGTGTGGGTAAGCATTTTAACAAGTGTACACCATTTAAAAGTCTCATTTGCCTAAAATGTGAGCATTCGCGCTGCTCACTTACATTTTACTAGATGTCAGGCACTTGGATGGTGGTGTGTGTGTGGGGGGGGGGGGTGTAAAAAATAACAAACCTTTTGCCAATTGAACGATTTTTACATTTAGAATCCAGTGACATTGATGGTGTTCCTCGTGCTGTCCAACCATCATCACTCTCCTTTTGCTAATTATTCTGCCACTGTCCCAGGAATGCAGAGCCCCTGTGTTAGGCGAGGTTCTCTGGAGACGCAAAACCAATAGTGCTTATGTATCTAGAACGCGGTTTATATTAAGAAATGGTTCACACAGTTGTTGAGTGGATAAGTGCAAGTTCATGTGTTCTCACGACTGCAGCTGCAGGACTGATGAACAGGAAGCGGGAAGATGAAGCAGGCAGAGCAAAGGCTGGTGGCTGCTGAGCTGAATGAATGAGATCAACTGAAGGTGTCCAAGGCCAGCAGTCTGTGAATGGCTCCTGGAATCAGCAGGGGATCTAGCTGGAGGTCAGCTAACCAGATGCAGCAGCAGGTGTGAGCTTCCCCACCCTGTCGATTTATACTGAGAACAGGCCACACACACCCTGAAGGAGACCTCCCTGAGTCACATCTAGGCTGTGACCAGGTGAAGGAAGCCGATTCTCCCCTCACCGGCTTGGCTGCTTCACGGAAGATCCCGTCACAGGTTGACCATAGTATATTAGATCAGATCATGGGAGAGTCTTTGCACATCCAAGTTGACATAAAACCTAACTATCATACCTCCCGTGGCCTCTCATTCCACTGATAAGCTTTACTCTCTAGATATTTTCCTACCTCGTATGAGGGAAAGTATGTGTGTGTGTGTAAATTCCGTTATCTTTTAATTCCATTTTTCCATGAACTTTTTGAAGGCCCCCCACATATAACTGGACAATATTTGCCCTTCTGTGACCGACTCATTTCACTCAGCATACAATTTTCAAGATTCATGTTGCTGCATGTATTGATGTGTCATTTATCTCTATGCGTAATATTCCTGTCTCTCTGTCTCTCTCTCTACTTCATCACATTTATCCTTTCATCTATTGATGACACGCGGGGGATTTCCACTTCTGCTATTGTGAAAACGGCTGCAAGGGCCTCTGGTGTGCAGGGTTTTGTGCAATTTCCTGCTTTCAATCCTCTAGATTTTATGCAGGAGCTCAAGAAGCTCATGTAAAAATACCATGATCTCTTCATTCATTTTTTTCCACGAGCTTTCTGAAGTCACCTCCTATACCCACAATTGGGATTGCTGGATCTGGAATCCTGGTGGAGCTATGGGCTAGACATTGGGCTACTAACCACAAGGTCGGAAGTTCAAACCCACCAGCTCCTCCAGGGAAGAGAGGTCAGGCTGTCTGCTCCCATTAAGATGTACAGTCTCAGAAACCCTGTGGACCATCACTGAGTCAGTTGTAGTGGGGCTTTGTATTTAACTCTTTGAAGACCCACTAAACTGGTTTCCACAGTGACTGTACCCTTTGTATTCCTACCAGAAGTAGACGAGGGTTCTGATAAGGGGTGTGTGTGTTTCATTTCTGATCTGCACTCTCAAGTTTGTAGGCTGGATTTTCCCCTTAGGTAAGAAGGCTGAGGGTCAGAGAGATGTTTGGTCACCTGCTTCGGGTCACAGATTTAGTGGAAAAGTGAACACTGTAATCCAGGGGTGCCCCGTGAAATTCATTCACTGGAAAGCTTCACAAGAGGTGCCTTGCCTTCAAATAAGTTGTCTTCTTTCCATACGACGAGCCGTTCTCTTAGATGATAAAATGCAAAAGTAATATGCTTGTTCTTGAAACAATCACGTGGGGTCGGTGCTGGGGCAAGACTAGAATCCATACTCTACCTTATTTGGGATAAGAGATGTTAAGACAAACACTCCATTTGGACTAATGTACGAGGCTCATCCCACATAACTAGGGACATCTAGAGGTAACCCTGCATTGCTGCCTTATGGGGATATTAGGTCATGGTAATAGCCCTGGTGGCGCGGTGGTTAAGCACACTCTGATGCTGGCCAAAAGGTCTGGGGGGAACTCTGCCGTCACTCCACAGGAGAAGGACGTGGTGGTCTGCTTCCGCAGATGACAGCCGTGGACGCAGTCTTAGTTATCCAGTGCCCACGTAACACATATCACGCGTGGATGTCTTTACGAACAAATGGATGCTCACAATTTAGGAGGCTAGAAATCCGAATTCAGGGCACCAGCTAGAGGGGAAGGCTTTCTCTTAACTGGCTCTGGACGAAGGTCTCTGTCTCTTTTCAACACCTGTGGGCCTATCATTCCTTCAAAATCTCCATGTATTTTGTGCGCAGTGGGTTTAGAAGGCTCTCAGTTCAGGGACTCCCGGTCCACAGAAAGCACTCTCTTTGCAGATCTTCTCTCTCATGAGGTCCTTCTGTCTGCTTGATTTGCTTATTCCTTCGTAAAGTGACGACGCAGGGCAAACCCCATGGAAACTCCCCTTACACCTACCCCAGGGCATGAGTAAAGGTGTCCACCACCCCCTCCCCCAGCCTGCTGCATGAACATAACAAACAACCTAGTCCCCAGTGATGGAACCTAACCATGACTCCCTAATACGCACAAGTCACAACACCTCACAAAACGGGAGATAATTGCATGGGGTCACAAAACAGAGGATCACCACACAACGTTGGGAAATCATGGCCTAGCCAAGTTGATACACATTTTGGGGTAACACAATTCAATCAAGGACAGGAACTTTAGGGGATGGTTCTAACCTGTTCTGGATAGTCATTATGAGTCAGCATCAGCTAGAAGGCAGTGTGTTTTGTTTCGTTTAGGGAATAAGGACTCGCCTTAGAGAAATGTTACAAATGGCTGTCTTAACAAACCGAAATGTATTGTAGTGGTTATGTGTTGGGCTGCTAACTGCAAGGTCAGCCGTTTAAAACCACCAGCTGCTCCTCAGGAGAAAGACGATGCTTTCTACTCCTGTGAAGACTTACAGTCTCAGGAATGCACAGTGACCGTTCTGTCCTGTTCTGCAGGACCCCTGTGAGTCAGCATCAACTCAATGGCAGTGAGCGTGGTGGGGCATTTGGAAATCTGAATGTAGGTGCTCGCCCTTGGGAAAGTTTCCTCTCTGTTGGCTCTAGGAAAAGGGCTTTGTTTCTTCAACTTGGTTCCTGGGAGAGATCCACGTGGCTTAGTATCAATCGTCCTGAGTCTCCTCTTTTCTCTATTTCTTGTTTCATCTCTTTGTATATCTCAGAAGAGATCGACTCAAGATATTCCTTTTGCTCATCGCACCGCATTCATTTAACAGAGCAAATGGGAGACATGAGTCAATGCATAGCAGGATTGTTTAAGGGCCAACTAGCTCTCAAGAGCTGTCGCAAAGAGGACTCCTTTGTGATGCCAGAACAAGAAAAATGCATATCTTGCACACCAGCAAAAAAGCGAGATCTATCACCATTAGCGTGCAGCATGTGGAATGATCCGTATTACAGGGAAATCTTAGAACTTGCTGTGTGATTTATGGCCAAGCGTCACCATCTTCAGGTATCTTAATTTCCAAGAAAAGGAACTGAGGGCGTGAGCGCAGAGGTGGCCACTGCAGTGACCACCCGTGCTGGTTTGCTCAGGAGGCTCCCAGTGGTAGGGAGCCCTGAATGTGCAGCAATTGCATGCTCAGATGTTAACAGAAAGGATGGCAGTTCAAAGCCACCCACGGCTCTCAGGGAAAGAGGGCGTGGTAATCTACCCCTGTAAAGGTTATAGGCCAGAAGAACCCAAGGGACCGTTGGACGCTGTCACGTGGTGGCATGGTATTAGAAGCTGGCCTTAGCCCCTAACAACCACCGTTCTGGATTTTAGCACCGGAAGTCCCTTGTTCTGGGAACCTCCCAGGCAAATGGTTGTTCTGGGCAAACTGGAGAGAGTCAGTCACCCAGAATCAGAACCAGTTTCTCTGGATGGAGTGCAGCTCCCGGGGCCTGGAGTTGTGGGTGCTGCAGGTCATTCTTGGTCCTCGATTCTGTAACTCAAGGAGGAAAATGAGGTGTATTATCATTTTTCTCACTGAGAGGCTTGATTCAGCATGAAAGGACACTGTACCAGTGGCAGGGTCGCCTTTTCCTTCTTGAAGCCTGTGGAGTAGAGAATTGAAGTTGACCCAAGGAGTTTGATTTGGGGCCCTGGTTCCCCAAAGAAAATCTCCCAAATATTACCCCCACGACTAAAGCATCTTTGATGAGCCCTCAGACCACCCCCAAGGGTAAATAACTCATGTCGGTGGGGACTGGCTCTCCAGGACTCGAGGGCTGTCAACCTTGAGACGTCAGCCAACATTGGCAGAGAGTGATCGGAGGTTGACTTGTGTCACGAGCTCTGGGCATTGGGTTCTGAGCTTCCTGGCTGCTGGTGGAAATTGATGGACGTGGGAGTGCAGCCACATCTGTTTGGGGGATGTGGAAGCTGCTGTTTGGGAATACTCAGACCTCTCCCTACATGACTCTTTTTTGATATCCATTTGGCTGTAATAAAACTACCCACGAAGTATAGCACTTTCCTGAGTTGTGTGTGATATCCTAGCAAGTCATCAAACCCAAGCAAGTACAGAAGTGGGAGCCTGACTTAGCAGTCTGGAAGTTTGTGGGCCCCCCACCCCACTTGTAAGGTCTCCCCTGGTTTCAGGTGTTCTAGATGGAAGAAAACATGCTGATTTAGTTGAAGAGATCATATTGATTTGCAGTTGATCGTGTCAGAAACTTGCA